ATAGATAGATAATAGATAGATAGATGATAGATAGATAGATAGATAGATAGATAGATAGATAGATAGATAGAGATAGATAGAGATAGATAGATAGAGATAGATGAGAGATAGTAGATAGATATTTGTTAGAGCAATCATCCTAAATTACATATATTATAAATAATTGTTAAATAGAACACAAATCATTATTTTTGCCAAGATAAATAACATAACTAGAGAAAACACTTAATTTTTTTTCACAATCAAGATCTCTAAGTTGTGACTGGGAATCAGCTCAGGCGGTAGACTACGCGCAAAAAGCCCTATGTTCAGTCCCCGGCACTGTGTAAAACTGGATGTGGTAAGTGTAATCCCAGAACGTCAGAGAACACAGGAACAAGATCAGAAGTTCTAGGTACATAGAAAGTTTGACAACTACTCAAGCTACATGAGACAATGTCTAAAAAGAGCAGGGGGAGTGGGGTACTGGGAAAAGCAAAGCTCTAAGTTTATACAATAAGACCCTATGTACTTTTCTTCCCTAGACCTTTGCACAGATAAAGCCTGTGGTACATGACAAGACATGTCTACTACTCTCCCATCATAACCCAAAATGTTTATGAAAATAAATCATCTATAAACTTCCTATGTTTCCTCTGAAATCCTATGATTTCAGGTGATAGCATAGACTTACAAATCATTTAATTTGGAGCCACAGTTGTTCAATGTATACAGTATGCCTGCTTGGGAGGCCATTTAGATAGACACTCTTCCCCAGAGCATGGCAGCCTCTGCATTCTTTCTGAGAATTCTTAAGTTTGTTCCATGAGCTTTATGTATTCCATATTTTCCTGTTTTATGCAATTTCAAAGTGTAAACATACCGCAAGTACTTCCTCTTTCTTTTTTTCTAAGCTTTATTTGCTTTCTTTGAAACATATGCAGGCACATCTTGATGTTCCAAGCAGCCATGGCTAAGTTGCCTGTCTGGAATCTGGCTGTTTTTAACCATGACAAATGACCTCTTTGTGATCTTCTGAGAAAAAATCCTGGTTCACCATTCTGGACCTGGGCAGTGCCAAGGCATCATTTTCCTAGATGAATGTGGGCCAAGGTGGAACTGGATGATAGATACTGAATATAATTTTGATAAGCCTCTAATTTAGAAAAGTGTTAGATTTATGGTAAAGTTGCAAAAGGTAGAATCTCCATACACTCCTCACCTACCTTTTAACTTGTTAGCAATGCTACAGCACAACCGCAAAAGTCAACAAATCAATATCAGTAGACAACACTATTAGCCCTAGATTCTAGGTGCACATCCATTTCCTTGCCAATGTCCTTGACCTACACCAGCACTGACTCCAGGGTGAACACTGCCTTCAGTTTTTCCTTAGCCTCTGGCATGTGAAAGCTTTTAAGTCTCTTCTCGGTTTCTACGACAGTGGAAGCCTTATGCCCATAGACAGAAGAATGACTCAGAGCAGATAAAAGACTTGACCACGAGATCTGAGACTATAAAGAGACTAAAAGAAAACAAGGACGAAGCCTCATGACGTTTGTATGAGAAGAAGCACATACTTTCAAAGCACAGGCCATGAAAGCCCCACACGCATGTGTGTATGCACACATGCGCATACACACATACACACACACAAGCCTTCATAACACTGAAAGTTTTATTCATAGCAAATGACATTATTAACAGCACCAAAGCAGCCTGTAGAGACCAGGATAATACTCAGTCACACCTATGACCAGGAGCTCAATAAGTACAAGGAACTCAAGTTGCTCAACAACAGAAAAACAGATAAACATATTTATTTACAATGGGCACAGCAGCTGAATAAACAGCTCTCAAAGGAAGATATACAGATGCCCAGCCATGATGAGCTGTCACCCACATGTTAGGTTGATTATTATAAAAACGATGAGAGATAGGAAGGGTTGGCAAGGCTGTAGAGAAAGAAGAACACCTGCACACTGTGGGTGGTGCTGTAAGTGGGCAGAGCCACTGTGGAAAACAGTGCAGAGTTTCCTCGCAAAATACTTCAACCAGAATTACCATACAACTCAGCAACCCCCTTCTTGGTATCTGTCTGTCTCAACGTTCCTTTGTTTCAATAGCATGTCCAATGCTTGTGTTTTGAACCAATTTTAAGCAAAACATGTTTATTCTGCTTCCAGTTTCAAATGATGGAAGTTGACTAACATGCCACCCCATCTCTTCAGCCTTTCTGAGCTGCTGTTGGAAGATGGTATCATGGCGGACGTTCACAGAGGAGCAGAAAACACACAGTGTGGCAGGAAGCCAGGCAGCAGGCTTTGCATTGGGAGAACTGAGTCATCCACGAGATGGGACTACAATTCCCTCCCTCCAAAAGGAGCACTCCAGTAACCTCATCACCTTTCACTGGTCTTGGCTTTTTAGTTTCCCCACCTCGACCCTAGTACACTAAAAACCAAGCTTCTGAAACACAAGCCTGTGGTGGAATAAACCAAATTCATAACAAAAGCCAAAGGAATCAGACTCAATGTGAAGAGACATCCATACTCCTATGTCCTATAGCGCAGTGTTCAAAACAACCAAGACATGAAAGCCATTACAGTACCCATCAATGAATAAATGGATTTTAAGCTATTATATACGCATGATGAAGTATTATTCAGGCTTTTGAGGGTAGGAAATACTATCATTTACAATATTAATGACATAGTGTTAAGTAAAATGAGTCAGGCATTGTGAAACAAAATTTAAGTAAACTTACTTATCTATGGTTTTAACAAATCAAATTTCTAGAAGCACAGAGTAGAATAATGGCTACCTGAGGCTGGAGGTGGGAAGAAGACAGGAAACCTTGCTGAAATGGTACAGCATTTCAGCTTGACAGTGTGGGAGAAATAAATGTTTTTCAGTGCACATTATGGTGACTATATTTACTAATAATGTACTGTATATTTCAAAGGAGAAGAGGGGAATTTAACTGTTGTAATCATTAAACAACAGCTGGGTGGTTAATAAAGTGAATATGTTATTTAGCATGATTCTATTTTATGAATAAGAATCACATAGAAGCCACAAATAAATACATAATCTCCTTTTTTCTAGTTTTTTTAGTGAAAATAGATTATTTTCTCACATAATATATTCTTATCACAATTTCCCCTCTAGAGAACTTCTCCTCCAAGTTCCTCCTCACTTCACAGCCTACTCAGGTTCATTCTCTTTCTGTCTCTAATTAGAAAAGAATAGGCGTCTAAGAGGTAACAGTAAAACATAACAAAATAAAATATAAGAAAAAACAAAAACCATCACACCAAAGTTGGACAAGACTAACCAAAAAAAGAGCCCAAGAGAAGGCATAAGAGTCAGAGATCCATTTGTTCACACACCCAAGAATTCCATAAAAAGACTAAACTAAAATCCATAACATATACACGGAAACCTGGTACAGGCCCTGTGCCTGCTGCTTAGGTGTCCTTGAATTCATATGAGCTTTGCTCATGTGGATTGAAAGGGCTTTTTCTCCTGATGTTCTCCATCCTTCTCTCTGGGCTCCTTGAGCTTTGAAGGGACGAATTGGATGGAGACATCCCATTTAGGACTAAGTGTTCTAAGGTCTCTCACCCTCCCTCCCATCTCTTTCTCTCTCTGTGTAATGTCTGGCTGCGGGGGGGGGGGTGTCTCTGTATTTGTTCCCAGTACAGAAGGAAGCTTCAGAAAGAAGCTGTTGCAGAAGGAAGCTTCTCTGTTGATGTCTGAGCAAGGCATTAATCTATGAGTATAGCAGAAAATCACTAGGAATCATTTTATCACTACTTTTGGGGAGCATTGAGGGAGCAAAACCAGGAAGGTACAGCTAAAATTAAAAAGCATTTGAGAGGTAATATGAAATCTAATATAGCATAAGCATATATATATACACACATATATACACTTATACACACACATACTTTTTTTACTTTCTACATGAAATCTAAAATAAAATCTAAATAACAAACATAGAAGAGTCACTGACCTTTTCTCCTTTCCCCTATTGGATGATAAAAATGGGCACTCTTTGGGGAAGGGGGGTCAGTACAGAAGAAGGTGGGAAAAAGATAAACAGGAATAGCAAAACAAGAGATGAGATCTGATAGGGAAAATGGAAATAGAGAACTTCTTAAGAAAAAGACACAAAGGTAAATGCAGGAGGACGAAGGAAGGTAAAATGCGATAAAGGATATCTGGAAAAGCCACAAGGAACCTTATATTAACAATTTACCTTTAAAACCTATAATGCACATAATTCCATGTATAAATATACATATATAGTCTTAATCAACCTTTCTCATCTGGGCAGATGGTGTGCCCTCAAAGAGTCAAAAACCACTTAACATACCCAATACTAGGTATGAAAAGCCCTCTTTTGAGATGTTGGCTAGGGGGTTCTATCCAAGACATCATCAAAATATACAGCCTACAGCAGTCTCCCTTGGGTGCACCACAGAGAGAGAGAGAGGTAGAAGGCAAGTCCTTGTAGCAATAGACACCATGAGCTTCAGAAACAGGGCTCAGAGACCTCTAATATGGAACTGACCCAAGCACCCCTCCTTGGGGACTACCTTTCATGGGACCAGAAGGTACCATATTGATTGCTGTGAAGTGAGGCCACCAACAGTCCTATCTGGCTATGACATCTATGAACCATGTCAACCAACAACACGGTGTGACAACCCTGAGGGTTCAGTAGTGGCATGCATACTTTAGCAGCAACCATCGGCTCTCTAATGGGATTTAAGACCCGCCCCACAAGAGGGAAACCATGTGTAGCACTGGAAACATAGCCAACTTCTTAGTATTGGAGGAGAATCTACAGCCGCTGCTTTACTAAACCAGCTTAGTCCTTAACAATAATCTTTAAACATTTGTCCTTATATCCACAGATAAACATAGCGGCCACCCCCTCATCAAGGAAACTTTTCTTTGCAAGAGACGGAGACCACAATAGAAAGCCACAACCAATGAAAATGCAAAGTTGTCCAGTCCAGCCCTGACAGATACCTCTACAAACTATCTCCACACCAAAGTCTCAGGAAAGGAGAGCTGCAGAGAAGGGGCAGGAAAGATTGTGAGAGAGTTTGCTGTCAGATTATGTCTCCTAGTAAGATCAGAAGCTACTCCCATAAGTTCTTTAGGAACATGACTGTCCAAATGCGAGCTGAGCAAGGTTGACACCAATGATCGTGCCTGGCTGGGCAGGGAAAGGCCTGTGGGGCCTCAACCCTACACAGGCATCTATAGGTAACTGAGGAAAGCTGGGAATGGGAGAGGTGGTCTTCTCTAGGGAAGAGCACACTAGTTCGATGCCCAATGCTAAATGGTCAGCCCTGAAAATATAGCTACAAGTAGCATTATATGACTGAACAAGTTCTAGTAAGGAATATATATGTATGTGTGCATGCACACATGCATCCAACAACATTTAGTGATAGAAAAAGACCACAAATCTGAATGAGAGTGGGGAGGGGTATATGTGAGGACTTGGAGGGAGGGAACGGAGGGGAGAAATGCTGCAATTAAACTGTAATCAAAGAATAAAAATTAAAAATAAATTTTTATAAAGGGGTCACATACCTTTAAAAATGAAGAAATTGAAATGAGGTACTAAGATGGTACTATGACCAAAATAATATGGAAGACTTCAGAGTCTACACACAGAAAGCACTGCCCATATCTCTCAGGGAACCCCCCCCCATAACCCCTCTCTCCAACCCATGGATCCCTGTGGGTAAACGCATATATTATAGGACAACAGGAAATAGGAAGAAAGACACTATCTTACCTCTGGCCAGGAATATGTGGTCCACAAATCAGAGTTCTCTAGTAAATCGGACAAACATCCTTAAGACAAATGGGAGACCCCGGTTAATATGATCTTTCCTTTCCAGCATCAGACTAAAGCGACAAGAACTCGAAGAATCGGGCATCTGTAGGGAAAGAGAGCCTCTCTGGTGCAGGGAAACAGGAAACTGGTCTAGGCCCACCTTCTTGCTCTTCTCATTGTTCAGCTAGAGGAAGCAGCAGAGAGAACCACGCCCATTAGTGGTACTCCCACAATAATAGATCTCCATCAGGAACCTGAAGTCTAAACAAGCCATCTCAACCCAATTTCCTCTCAGAAAGGGAAATGAGAGATCGCCCCCAGATGGTTAATCTGCAATGTCAACTTGATCAGATTTGAAAGGCTAAGAGATTACTGAAGCACACTTTTGTGGTGTCCATGAGGATACTCCCAGTGATGGTTGACACATGGACAAGAACGGATGGACCCTGTAGATGCCTGCGATAGCATCTAGTAGGCTGGATAGATAGAACCGCAGTCAGATGGAAGAAGCCTTCTGGGAGACCTCTACTCCACTCATTTTGTTTGTTGGCTGTTTTGAGGTGGATCTCTTCCCTCTGTCATGATGTACTGCCTTGCCGGTGGCCTAGAAACAGATGACCGAATGATTATGGAATGAAAACTCTGGAATAAGTTTATTTGCCTCTCAATTATTTTAGGTATTTATCACACTGACAAAAATCTGACTAGCCTAGCTTCCAGGACTAGAAAGCTATTTTTCCCTAAAAAGAGCTCTCTGACTTTCTTAGGTGGGATGAGTGATGCTTTTTATGGTACCCCTAGGACAGGACAAACATGACAACCGTCCAGGAGTTTGGCTTTACATCACCATTCTGGAGAAATATGACCTTAAGCAATAAGTAAACTGTGTTGGATTTTTCCACAGAAAAATAACCAACACATTCCATTTTGATTTATGATCCAGATGCTTGTTGAAAAATACCTCCAAAATAAATCTGGTCCCACACACAAATCACTCAGTGTTTAGAGGTTTTTACCACCTACTTAACTCTCAAGACAACTTTTTCTTTCTTCTGCCTCAGTTTTATCAATATTGTGGTTGACCATCTCTAACTGTTTTTTTGGTGAGATTAAATTGGAGGAGAGAGAGAGAGAGAGAGAGAGAGAGAGAGAGAGAGAGAGAGAGAGAGAACTTCGAGAACTTCATTGTCAACTTGACTGGATATGGAACCACCTAGAAGACACCCCTCTGAGTGTCCTTGAGGGAGTTTCTACAGTGTTGTAACTAAGGAGAGAAAAACCATCTTGAATACGGCTGGCTTCATCCCACAGGTTAAAGACCATAACTGAGTAAAAAGGGAAAGCAGATGAGTGTTGGCATTCCTCTTTTCCTGGTAGGCCGAGATGTGAGCAGTCCCAGCCTCACGCTCCTGCTGCCTGCAATCCACTACGCTTTCCTTATCAGTATGTGCTGTACTGTAGTGATATTTTATTTGCATTTTAATAAGCAAAGCTTGCCGGAGGGTTAAAGGGCTAAACTAAGCCACTAGTGGCCAGGGAGTGATGGCACACAGCTTTAATCCCAGGAGTCAGGAGACAGAGGCAGGTGGATCTCTGTGAATTCAAGGCTACCCTGAGCTACACAAGATTGATCCAGAAACAGATCCAGGTAGCAGTGTCTCACACCTTTAATCACTGTATTTGGGAGTCACCTTTAATTCTATCACTAGGGAAGTGGATACAGGAGTGATATGGCTGGGCCCAGAGAGAAATAAAAAGGTGAAGAGACAGGAGCTCACTAGAGTGTTCAGTCTGATGATTTGTGGAGACAGGATCTCACCCTTTCAGTCTGAAGACTTAGTAGCGGTAACAAGATCTCTCTAGTGGTTGGCTGCTTTACTTTTCTGATCTTCAGGTTGAACCCCAATGTCTGTTTCTGGGTTTTTAATTATTCATGCTACACTGTACCCTCTCAAAGCACAAACCAAAAAACATAGCCTTCCCTCATAAATTGTTGCTGTCTGATACATGGCCACAGCAATGAAAAAAGGAACACACACACACACAAATGCACATGTACACACATACCTAAATTCTGATATTGTCTAAAACACAACAAGCAACACCTGCTTGTGTACTGTATTGTTTAGCCCTTAGATAAAGCTTAAAAGTGCATTCTTTTTAAATTCCACTATTCTTTAAAATGATAACCCACATCTTACATTCAGAAGATCATAAGTTAAATATTTAATGATTATTTAGTAACAATGCTTAACGGGAAACAGTAATTCTGACTCAAGAGTCTAATTAAGACTTGGTCACCAAACCAAGCGTGTAAACCATCTTTACACGTGTGACAATCAATAGACCTAAACTTCAAAAATAAGTGAGCTTGAGTTTGCAGAAGGATGTTTTAATATTACTATGTCTAACTTAGCTTTTTGCTATCATGCATGTCAGAATAATTCTTTTTACTCTTTTCCTTTCTTCAGAGAGTCAGCTACTCTTTTCCAGCATGGGCCCCACTATCAGTACAGCTGCACAGTGCAGAATAAAGACGAGATTGAAGGCCACATTGTGGCCCCAGGGCATCTACTCAGTAGATGCATGACTTAGGCAAATAAATTCTCCAATACAGAAGAATAAGAAGAGTAAGAATAGTGATTACATGTTACTACAAGGTTACTGTGAAAAATAATCTTCATTCGTTTGAATTTATTCTTTACCAGAAAGGAGCTAAGACAACAGACATGGATATAGAATAGAAGTCGTGACCTACACAGAACAAGACTTGAGATATAAAATGGAACTGAAAACAGAGTCAATGCAACTTCAGAAAAACCAAAAGTTTAGCTCATTGACTAAACATGTAGATATTGGCTACAAGTAACCCACAAGGTCACAAGTTGTCCACAGCAAGGCGCAAAATAGACAGACTTGTGCCTACTAAAACATGAGCCATTTGTACAACCATTACCTATACTTGTGAAAGCCTGGTCTTTAAAATCATGGCATCTCTGCATGACCACTGGTTCCCTGTTCTATACTCTTAGAATCGGAAAAGTGGATGCAACCAAGAGAATAAACCCAATCTTGCAAGCTGGCAAAATGAAGTATCTGGGACAGGGCTGAAAGTTACTAAATGTTATTTTCTTTTCCCCTTTTCCCTTACTCACGTCAGCATCTCCTGTCCACATGCCTCAGGTGGCTAAGAGGACTGGGAAAAGCTCTTTTTAAAACTACTGAATTACCCTCAATTTATCTACATTTTATTTATAATTATTAGCAACAGTACAATGTCCATATCCACCTCAGTTACATATAATGTTTGCTTTTAAAATATAGAAAAGAAAAACACCTGTTTCCTCTCAAGATGTCAACCATGATAATAAAACCAAAAGCACCTTTAAAAACTTGCTTCCAAGTACCTAAAGCCATTAATGTCACATGCAATATATCAGAGTTGATTTCTTGACAGAAGGTTAATTAGTTCTTTCCCATAGGATAGCATTGCCATAATTAAACCTATAACAACAACGGAAAAGCACCCTTGGGCAATTTAAGATATCCTGACAGTAATAAGAAATGGCAGTGGGCACTGGGTACCAAGGCAATTTTCTACTCGCTGTTGTTAAATTGTCTTTGGCATAAGAAAGCAAGACTCCCCATGCCAGTTGAAGTCTAGGCCCGAGAGAGCCCATTAGCGAGAGAAGGCAGGAACTGCATCCTTTTCCTAGTCCTCTCTTTACAAACTGATGAGAGCGGGAGACTCAAACATGGGTTCAGTCTGCTCTTGCTGTATGCCATACCATAGCTCATTTCCCAAGGTAATGCTATGATTAATAGCATCTGTTCTATGACCTAATTAGAGTCTGATTTTTTTCATATTCCTATCTAGCCTGCGTGAGGTAGGTAGGAAGGAGGAGGAGCCGGTAGACATTGAGAGACAGCCCGCAAGATCGAGTTCCTCTTCAGGGAAGCAGGAAACAAGACCCGTGCAAAGGCTGGTGGTTCGAGTACTCCCTGAAATAGCTCAGGGATACACTTTTCCTTCATCTGTTAAGTCAGATGGGACTACACAGTTCTTCTAGGGACACATTGCCCACACCCTGCAGAAGATTCACGGTGTGGTATGCAATAGTCTTGATTCACTAGGGCACTCTGGGTATAAGTGAGAGATTCACAATTCTAAAAAGAGGGCTGGAGAAGTGGCCTGGCTGGGAGAGCTCGTGTCTTGCAAGGATGAGGACATGGCTTTTAGACCCCCATTGAAAAACCACCATGGTAGTGGGTTGTTCTAATCCTGGTGCTGGAGGTACAGAAGCAAGAAGATCTCTGCAGCTGACACGGCTATCATGCGAGATGAGCTAGTGAGCTCTGGTGTTAGTGAGAGACTTTGTCTCAGAAAATAAAAAGGATTTTGGAGGGTTTTTATCTCACGGTGCTTTGTCTGGGCTCTCTCTCTTTTTTAATTTACATATCAAATTATGGTTTCTGATTTTGTTTTTATGTGTGTGCCTCAGTATCTATGTTTCTTCTGTTTTTCTGTGGCCCTTTTGTTTTCTGTTTGTTCATTTGTTTTGTCCTATTCTACTTTGTTTTTATTTTATTATTTTTTTAGATGTCTGTTTGTATTCTAATAAGAGAGAGACTGAAAGGATGTGGATTTGGGTGGGTGGGGAAGTAAGGAGAATTTGGGAGGAATTGAGGGAGGGGAACCCATAATCAGAATATATTGTATGAAAAAAACCTTATTTCCAATTTAAATAAAAGAAAATAGGAAGTAATTGAGGGAGACATCCATCATCCATCTTGAGTCTCCACAACCACATGCACCCATCCATATAAGCACATATCTGCACACATCTATATACACCCATATACACGCGTATCTGCTTACTTATATCCATGTTCACATGTGTCTGCATACATCTACATACACCCATGTCCACACACATCTACATACACATGCATACACCCATGTCCACATGTATCTGCATTCATACATATACATACACACACAGAGGGAAGGGGAGAGAGATTCAAAGAAGAAAGCCAGTGCCATGTGCTCAAATACCCCTGTACCATCACTCAGGAGGCATGGAAGTAAACACATGACATTCAGATGCCAAACGTAGATGTGACAAAAAAGAATACAACTACCCAAGGGACAAGTGAGTGCACGTTATTGAAAATGCAACCCTGCACTTGCTCTATTCTCTTGACCACACTGAGCTGAGACAATGGCCAGCAGAGCTTACCTCACTTGAGTTCAAACCCCACCACCTGCAAGGCTCCGCTGAACATCTGGTGACTGATGGGCATGCACAGAACAGAATGCATCAACATGGCTGCCCGGCGATGCTTGAACTGCACAACACTGTCAGTGTGGCTCCGGAGCGTGTCTGTATCTAAGTCTAGTTTCTCTTCAGCTCTCTGGACAGCCACTGGCATGGGCAATTCCCGTAAATCTGATCTTGGAGCAGAAACTTGGGCGCTGAACGTGCGAGATGAAAAAGAGAGTGGGGCCTCTCAAGCTGAGAGGTGTCATGAGCAATCAAACATCTGGTTTTCCTCCCGAAAGCATCTCTGGCCTTTCCTGTCAGGTCTCTCGCAGGATAATTTATAGTCCCTAAATACTTCCGTCATCCCTCACAATGATGCTGGGCATCCCAACATCTTGTCATGCTTCTTATTGGCTTCATGAAAAGCCAGACGGGCTATAGTGAACTACACATGTGCTGGTCTGGGAGTACAATGCTTAGCCACCCTTACCCCTTTGTCTTTTTATAAAAAAAAATTCTATTGATTTTTATTGAGCTCTACATTTTTTTCTATTCTCCCCTCCTCTTCAACCCTCCCACAAGGTCTTCATGCTCCCAATTTACTCAGGAGATCTTGTCTTGTTCTACTTCCCATGTAGATTAGATCTATGTATGTCTCTCTTAGGGTCCTCATTGTAGCCTAGGTTCTCTGGGATTGTGATTTGTGGGCTGGGTTTCTTCTTTAGCTGTTTCCTTCATACTGTCCCTCCGAGCCTCAGAAGCTCTAGCAATGGCTCAAGAGGGACCCACAGTTGAAAAGCTGAGACCTCTGTTACTGATGGACCTACTGGCACTGTCACCACCACCACCACCACCACCACCACAGACCAACAAACTCCTGTGCTACAACTGGAAGAATTTCATGACCTAGCCAGAAGAACCCATGAGAGCCCAGATGGGCTCTCAGAGTGACACATAAATCAATTTTTTGTCAAGAAAATAAAAGAGTACACTCAAGGAACACAGTTGTTTTAATTGTCATGATTTTTCTCATAGATCTGGCATCTGCTAACATATTTAGTGGACTCCATGAACAGACAAACTAGTGGCAAGTTTTTGGAGTTCCTGGGAAGTTCTATGACCTTGATGCTACGGGTTAGTTTCTCACACATGACATTTCAAAAGCTATCTGATTGGAAGTAATTTCTGATAACCTTTATTAAAGCATGATATAAGGCAAGGGTCAGAATAAAGCTTTAGCTTTCCGACGTGATTAAAGTATAACCTTTGCTAATGCTGAGGAATTTACCATCAGTTTCATTTCTTGTGCAATCAAGACATGAATTATTAAATTCAAGACCTCATGGGGAATAGAACAATAAGGCTCTGACCCAAAGAAGATTAAAATCCAGGTGAAAAAAACTGAATATGTAAGACAAAAGACTCAGCAAGATATGGTGCGTGACAGATGCCACAGGAGCCGAAAGGGATTAGTAACAGTGGTGTCTGGGAGTGGAAAGCAAAAATATCAAACAAATCCAGACACCTGCTCTTTCATCTCTCAGTAACACTGCACCCCTTCCATCCACACACACAAAAACATGTTTGTGTTCTTTATTGATTGGTTCCTGATCAATACAACATCAATCAATAATTCATTTTCTGGCTTAATTCGAGCGCCCTGTCAAATAGCCACAGTTATGATTTCACCAACATATAAGTAGGCCACTTAAACAGATTATGAATGAGAGAGTCTGGTGGCATTATAGTCCCAGAAGACAAACCAAGACCTCAAGACAAAAGGCGTTTGACTTTATAAGATCTTAATCTTGCTGCCTTATATGTAGCTGACAGCATTCTTGGCAAAATGCCAGATGCTCTGAATGAAAATTTCATTGATTGAATCTAACCTCCATGTTGAAAAATGCATAACATGAAGATAAACTCACTAGTCCGGGTCTAAACCAAAGTCCATTTAAAATTCAGTTCTGCATGTAGTAAGTATTGGTGATCGAGAGAAGAAAATTCCCACACATGTAATACAACATTTTACAGCTTAGACTTGCCAACACTGTTGTTCACTTCCCCAATGGCAGGACATTCTTGACAGAGACACCTGCTGCTAAAATCAGAACTCTTGGAATGCACATGCCTTAACCTTACCATGGTGCATCACTGTTTCATCCCAGTCAGCCCTAGGAAAATCACTGCTGGAGAACCTGTCAATGCTAAGCCCTCTTTCTCTTATTCTTCCACCTTATTGCTTCTCTCTTTTGCTTTCTCACAGCAAAACCATCCAGTCCCCTCCTTCCAGATATATTGTTTTTAATTCCCAGCAAACTGTGTTCCATTAAGAAACTTCTAGATATGCATGAACCTAACCTGGCTCAGGCCATCAGGTGGGAAAGCCAAGGACAGAAATGACTGTGTATTACCTAGCCATTACATTTGCATAGATTCACTGGCAGCAAGCCTGTTCCTAAGGTAATTGGACGTGACTCAACCACCAATGACTGATGAACACTCAACACTTGCCACACACAGGTTACTCTACCCACTGATGGGCACAGATGAGAGTAAAGTGCGGTGCCTCCATCTGTAGACACACTGGGACATTACTATGGGTGATGGTTTCCTTTTTCGTTGTAAATCTTATTATAAAATTTGACAGAATTTAATATGATCACAAATATCATTATGCCTCACTCTGGGGACAATTTAAGACATCTACACAGCTTTTATAAAGTTGTTTACTATGTACAAAATATATTCAATAAATATTATATCATCGGCAACATGAATATCTCTTTCCATGAATGTAACTGTAATATTTCAATAATTGTATATAGTAGTGATTTTATTTGTCTTTTGGCTTCAGTGCACCCCAGGGAAGTGACAGTTTTCTTACCTGTAACCTGAGCTTGTCACAGGTGTAATTGACTAAGGCCCTCCTTCTGCGTCTGCGCTGAGACTGCACAGTAGTGGTATCCTATATTAAAGAGCAACCGGAATTTACCTGATCATTACAGGTCATTAGTTGGGTGACTGTCTTTCTACTACAGACAATCTTTAAGTAATGTGTTCTTTCTTTTTTCCTTTTTTTACCCAGTATATTCACCAGAGTAAATATGTAGCCTTAGTTCTATTGTGGCAGATCTTGCCTGAAAGGCTAACACAAGGAAAGACCAACAATCAAGTAATGGATATGTGTCCCCTTTAGCCCATTAGTGTTGATCTTTGTGCTAACTCAGTGATTTTCCCTTTTATTCCTCAGTTATGTTCAAGGGTGTTTCTTCCATATAATAAATATTTCACTTAGTGCATTTCCTTCTGTCTAAACCATTGTTCTAATTCTTAATGTTAGAAGCGACTTCTTCTGGAAAATATGAGAAGCAGCACCTTAGCATGGAAGAGCATATGGCTTCTGACAGCCAGTGGCGCAGGCTTCCTATCACAGGGCTCGGGTCCCAAGAGGAAATGGGAGGGTTCAGGGGAATGTTACACCAAGCCAGCCCTACTTTCTGCACAGAAAACCACAGACCTCCAACACAAGAAAGGGAAATTCCCCAACCTCTGTGCCAGTTTCCAAAGCACAGAAGATGGCCAGCCATTCTACACCAGCTGCATTTTCAAAGACCTTTTCAAGCAGGCCTCACAGCTCTTGAATAAATCAGACCATCCTCAATTCACAAAGGAAGGTGCTGAGTCATAGGGGCTTGGCTAGCCGGCTAGGGAAAGTCCCTTAGTGAGAGAGCTGAAGGCAGAAGGCAAAGATCCTGAATCCTTGTCCTGGACAGAGGAAAAGAGGCCACCCTGCTTCTTTATTGAGTCTGTCAAAGGAACAGAAATCCAATTGTGACTCCCCAGCTCCCACAAAAGAGCAGTTTGCTGCCCTGCCAACAGCGGGATCAGAAGAAACCAAGCCTTGTGCTGAGAGTTTGCTGACCACGGTGCTGCGCTCCAAGGTGAGAGCATCCTGACAGGATGGCCAGGCCTCAACAACTCAATTGCCTGCTTGGTGGGCAGTCCTCTAACACATGGCTTGCCAGTGGAAGGGGGAGTCAGTAGGTCAGTCATTCAGGCAATGTTCAAGAAGAAGATACCTTGCATTAAAGCCTTTTCTTGAGGGCAAATTAACTCTTACTTCTGAATCACACATTTGTACTCTCTAGAGGCTTCCAAGCAATGTCAACACACCTAGTGACATAGTCTCGGCTGCTTAATGTAATTTTGGCATACTATCCATGCAGAGTTGGGGCTATACTAATGATACCTATGAGACCGTGAATTGGACAACGAATTCCCAGAAATAATCTTTATTAAAAAAATAAAAAGCCAAGGACCCAGTTTTTAAATGCTCTTCCTTGTTTCACATCAAACAAAATAAGGAAGAGAAAGAAGTCCTGCCTGCTGCAAGTTTTTATGGCACTAGCATTCACGTGTCTACTTGGGAATTCGCAGCAAAGAGTATGCAGCACAAGTTTTGGGATTGGAGCTAACTCTTTAAAAAGCGCTTCATCTGAAGTGTCCAGATCATCCCAAGCAAGGCGGCATCCATCCTCACCTCCTCTGCAGCCTGAGACAGCATGGAAAGCTCCTGGTATTTGGCAGCTCTCCCTATCTCCCAATGGCTATAGACTGCATCTGCTGCCAGCAAGCAACCTCACCTCTACCCCACAGGAATACATTCCAAAGGGAATGTTGTGGTTTCCCTTAGGCTCACAGCAATCCAACTCCAGAAGGGCAGATATAGGGGTGATACTACTTGCCTGCTTGCTTGCTGGCTGGCTGGCTGGCTGGCTGGCTGGCTAGCTTGCTTAGCCATTCAAGGCTACTAACCCTTGGCTTTGACTGCTGCTTCCCTTTGCTCAGTCAGGCCCCTCCTGTGAGATGCATTAATGTAATCCATATCAACTCGTTGCCCATGCTCCAGGATAAGTGTCAGGATGGTAGCCCAAGAATGTAAAAGACAAACGCCTTGTTCTGGTTGAGCTTCTTTCCTAAGAGAGAATGACAATAAACAAAAAAAAATAAACACAAAAAGAATCAAGTCATGCCAGCTGACAGTCCTGTTAAGGGCTTTATTAAAAATGAAAGTGGGTGGCTTGAAAGAAACTTATGCCACACCAGGTAGGTGCCCAGGAATTTGGCAGTTGAGTTTTCTAAAGCAGAGCAAGGAAGGCAGAAGACACAAAACATTGAATTGCCTCAATGTTAGCGTGGGCAGAGGACAAAAACATTTGTGGCTATGGACAAAGTTCCATTAGCTTTGCAAAACCCGTCTCGGGCTGTCAGGATACAGTAGAATTGGCCTAAGAGACAAACTTACCTTTGGGACACCTGAGGGGAAGCCAACCGTGGCCCTGTAGAGCATCTCACCCAACCTCTCATTTCACAAGAGCTCAGAAACACGGCAGGATTTTCTTTCAGCCATGTGCCTTCAGGTAATGACAGCAAGCTCAGCAGGCAGGGTGGGGGCTCTGAGGATCTGGCAGATAGTTTGGCCTAGGCTAGCATTCCTGAGACTTCTAAAATACTGTGTTCCACAACAAAGAGAGATTGAGTTATCGTAGAAGCTAATATAAATTGCTCTGGATTAGCTAAATTTTG